CCCCCCCCCCCCCCCAGCGTGCTGTAAAATTGTTTAAAGTTTGTGTCTGTGTCGTTCATGAAAATGTGTTTTGGTGAGATATCATTTAAATGGTAATTCAAATTTGGTTTCGCGCATCATCGCCCACCCGCATTGCTAGATGAATTTTATGCTCTCATTCTTACCTCTTTCTTTATTTGACATATTCTGTCTCATACTTGGAATTTAGTTTCTATATTGGAGTGAACATTCTGCTTGAATTGAATACTGGGTTTCTTCTTTGTGCCCGGGGTTGTTTGAATTGGATTAGTGTAGCATGCTTATGTATATAATAATGTATGTATATATACACTGTTGCTGTGTTTCTATTTGTCTTCAAAATACCAAACCATGACTACTTGTAGCATGGTTTAGCATTTGTATATTCAAAACTTGCAATAACACACTATTATCTTCTAGAGCATGGTTGAAAAAGTCTCGAGGTACATACATACAACGACATGGACGAGGGTTGTCCCTAGCAGTCAGTAGAAGCACACCTGTTAGACTGAACTGGGACTTAAAAAAAAAAAGATATTTTTTAGGATGACGAAAACTTGACCCACCAGTTATCAATTCTGACAACGAACAAACTCTCTCTTCCACCAATTAGAAATTGCTGTGGAAAAAATCAGAAAAAGAAAAGAAGAAAAAACAAGTTCTTATTATTTTTTTTTTCTAATCCCTACAGCTGTGTTAATGATGTGATGAAGAGGTATTCAGTTTTGTTGGCTCATCATCTGCGTACTGTTTCAGAATAATTTTCTGTATTCATGGTTCGTGATGATGTTATTGTGTGTATTAGTTAGTGAATGTATGAGCTGATAAAAATATTGTAGTCTTTAATAATAACCCATAAAGAAATCACAAAGTGGTCAGAGGAGTTATAAAAATAAAAAAAATCTTATAAGAACAGGGTCTGAGATTGAGATGGTAATATGGTGATCACATGGAAGAGTGAATCTGAAGACCTGATACAGGATGAAAAGTTGGGTATCTCGTATAGTCGGCTTGCCTTCTGGTTTTACAAGGACAATTCCACGAACCCAAAGATTCTGAGGACTTGGACCATTCGAGGCTCCATATATATATATATATATATGTATGTATATATAATGTCTACATCATGCATCAGCCACCCTTTATCAGAAAATATCATGCGCAGGCCGACCAAACAAAAAAACTTTGCTTCAGTTTGCTCTGACATTGATAATAACAGTTCTGATTTTTTGTTTTCTAAAACCAAGGTAAAATCTGAGCTCAAATAACTGAGAAAAATACCTAACAAGAAAACTATGTTATTATTTTTCACGAGGAAATGGTGAGATAATATATTTTGGAGACGTATTTCAACTGCTGGATTATATTAGAAAGAAATAATCATTGAGAAGTAATAGTATGAGCAGCGTATTGGTTCTATCTCACAATGTCGTGTTAAAATCAAATGACTCGGCAGACAATAAAAAATTCGAAGCACGTCATGTAGCGCAGAACAAATGGCAGAGGGTTGGAAGATCCCAAAGAGGATCGGTTGGATCGTAACCGTTAATCTCCAAATACTCGTTCGCTCCGTTCATGTTGTATAACGATGCTGATATGTGATCGTCTTGATCACTCCTCCCAACCCTTTCCGAATATGGGAACCCGACATCGTCAACCCACTGTCTGAA